CTCAATATTGGATTCAGAAGGATTGTAACGTGGAGCAGTTCTAACAAATTCAAAGGCTTGTAACCTCTCTCTTGCAGCCTGCTTCTAACCCATTGACGACAGTCCTCCATCTCAAGATCTATACCTCTATCAGCAAGCACACAGAGCATCATTTTATTGTGAGGGGAAGAAAGGGAGGACAAAAACAAAAGATTTTATAGATTTCAAATTTTAAATGCTAAGGTATTTTCACATCACATGCAAACTCACTTGAAATCTGCAGCTTTGGCAGTAAGAGGGAAGACGGAGTTGAACCTCCGTGTTATAGCTAACCATTCTTCATCATACTGAATTTCATAAGGTCCTGCCTCTGATTCAATTTCCACAATCTAATGACACATAACATGCCAAAATTTTAGTCACTAACTCAAATATTGATTGCAATAAGCTCCCCAGACACTATTGATATCAAATTCACATAAAATACCTGTAAGAAATCCCGACCAGCAAGGCACTTATCAAGTGCAAGAAATTTTGTCTGAGGACCACCATCCCCATGTTGAACAAGAGCAGCAAACTTGCAGTGTAAGTGAGCTGAAAACCAATACTGTGGTTTCAATTTTTCCAGGAGTTGCGCAGCAGCTTTACTGCCAAGTCTTCTTTCCTCTATCTAGCACATGTTTATTTAGATAACTGAAGTGAGGATATCATACTTTTTGGATCATTAAATGCTGTACAATTGACATTACACGCAAAGTGGTGGTTGGTCACACATTTCCATAGTTACTGCATACAGTCAAGTGCCAATGCAAATGGCCATTACTTTTTTGCCTTTTTTTTTCCCCCCGGCCAAAACGCTAATGCCAGTTACACAGCCAACAAGATAGTGGTTATAACAGTTGTAAAAAGAAAAATTAAAATATGAACAAGATGGTGCGTATGATGGAAAGACTTTGTGTCATTGATGATTGGTTTTTTGTGCCAAAAAGTCAGTAGTCTAATTTGACATGCCCCTGCATTCAGAAAACAGTGATATAAACCACGGATAAAACAAAGTGCCTCCTGCCCAAGCAATGATGAGCGGACAACTCCTTTTCAAGTTTCCATGAACATAAAACCAAAACCAAGATGACAGATTCCACATTGAATACTAAAATTGAACATTTAACATCTCAGAACTTCTCTACCTTCCCTTTCCTACGCGTGCTAAATGTTAAATTCCAAGAGTTCTGACAGAAAATTGATACTCAAGTGAAATCCGCATTGATAATTGAATACTCATCTAACATGATTTAATTTGTTAATAGGGATTCCTAATAGATGTGCAACACCATAACTCTACACAGAAACCATCGTTGGTTTCTTCCATTGGATAAGAAAATCACATGTGATATCAGTTCTTAGTAATTTTCTCATCCAAATGGCATATCCGTTCTGTTTGCAGTTATTCTTAATTCCCCATCAGTTGAAAGGCTGCTATGTCCTTCACAAAATACTAACAAAAAAAGTACCCAGAACCGGTGACCAGGTTTGCAAAAGATTAAAAAACAAAAGACACCAAACCCATCATTTAACAATCAATTAAACAATTACCTCCTGCTTAAAGAAATGTTTCCGCCGAATGAGATCCTTCCAATTCCCACAATCAGTGATTCCGACTGGCCAATCATGAGAAAGAAAGATATCAATCGGTTCCTCGACTTGAATGAGCTTGTGAACATCATATTCACGAACATGATACACAGACCTGATTGTATTTTGGTCGTAAGGAGGCCTCTCAAAATGTCCTGCTCAAAGAAAAGACCTGTGTCACTGTTCCTGCAGGATAAATGCCATGTGCAAAGCTACAGCTTATGGTACGTTTGCATATAACTCTTGGTGTTATGAATCAAATAAAAATGACATACGAGCAGCAGGCAGTTGAGATGGTATCGACATGAACCCATAATTCATGTCATAATCAAAGATGCAAAATAAATAAACAACCTGATTTATAATGACGTGCATTATAAATCCCAGACACTCCACCAATTCGGATATTCCCAAACCTGACCACCCCTGCAACTCCCAGGAAATATATATTAGGCGCAGCCCATCCTCCATAGTACCTAGAAGAAATAACCAACAAAAATCAAGGGCCTAGGCTGCCAAAGCCATGTTACAATAAACTTCTACGAAAGGCAAGCGTGTTTAAAGCAAATAATAGGTAACTCAGAAAATAACCAGCACTTAGGGAAGGATAAAATTAGTTAAATACAAGCTCAGTTAAAAATGAAGAATAAATATCAGATTAAAGTACCCGACTCACAATTCCCACAAATAATTAGACGCTTCGTGGTTTCCACCAATGAATATTGTGGGATACGGGGCAACCTCCAACCCCGAATAGTACTTCCAGAATGACTGCATAGAGCGATAGCGCGGCGGCACATTTAAGCTCTTCAAATCTTCTTCGTTTCGGACAGCCTGAACCCAGAAGATAACTATGTTCGTTGAAAAAATAGAAGTTTAATGGAATTGACGAAGTGAAGACTATGATTCGGGGCGAACCTACCTGAAAATCGCCGCAGCAGAGGAGGAGGTCGATTTTGGTGTTGTGCACTTTTTCAAGATGTTGCAAAGTTTTGTAGACATTGTCAAGATCGCCATGCATGCAACCTTCCACTGCTATCTTCATCTTTCAAACTTTTTGGAGACAAAATAAACTACGGAGGGAAATGCTAGGGCTCAAGCAATCCCGGGGATTCGAGGGATCGGGGTCATCAGGGACGTTAGTTTGAACGCCTTCTCTTTGGATGGCCCCAAGAAAATAATTATATGTGCTCAAGAGTTTATTTTGAATTTTTTATCGTGAAAATCAGAAAAGGGCTAAAAGGGTTGGAAAAATATGAGGGAAATATATAGATTTTTCTTTTTGTTTTTGGCCAACGAAATGTCGAAATATATAGATTTGTACATGCAAGAAAAAACGAAAAGAAAGGTAAGAAATATTATGGATTAACGATTATAAAAGTTTTTTTAGATTTGGTATATGCAAATTTTTAATGATATCAAAATTAAAATTAAAAATTAAACTAAAATGCTGTTTCTGGTAATTAACTGGATGGATAGTGATTGATTAATTAATTAATTGACCATATTAAATAAAGAGCGCAATTCAAATATAGTTTTGGAGGTCGATGTAATTTTAAAAAACAGATATTTTACTTCGTTCGCTCCTTTTTTATGACATGGGGTGCTTGGTTTGGGTCTGGGACTCTGGGGGTATTGAAATTTGAAAGTCCGTGGACGGAAAGGAAAAGAGAAAGAAAAATGGGGTATGATTATCAGCACCGCCATCAAGCAACCGACGGACTTCTCAGCTTATTCACAAAAGCGAATCATGATCTTGCTTTAGTTCATCTCAGGCTTGAGAAGGAGTTTCAACAAATTTACCCCGACAACGTAAGTAAACTCATTCTTCAATCTTTTCCCGGATTTTAGTTTTACCTTAATATTTGTCTCTTTAATTTATCGGAATTCCTTAAATATTGAGCATCTCAAGCCATTGTAGTGGTTTTTGTGGCGTAATCGATTTGGATTCACTTCCCAAGTTATCGGGTGATGTGTTGGCAGGCAAACCCTATGAAGCTGGTTTCTAGGATAAAAAAGATGCAAGAAGATATATCAACCTTGAAAGAGCAGTGCCACGAGCTATTGGCAGCTAAACAGGTATATAATTTATGCTTTTTTAAAATGTGCGCGGAAGAAAAGGAATTTCAGCAGCGTGTTGGATAAGCTTACCAGTTTGTTTCGCCATTTCCTTAGCAGACCAAAATCGTTGTATGCATTATGATTCCTTCATCGTATTTTGAAGTTGTTGCTGCTTCTTAATTATGCAGGACCTGATTGATAAGGCTCAGAGAACTCTGGTTGAGAACAGAGATTTGGTGCAGCGCATGCAAGCATCCATGGGTACTTCTCTCACTGGCGAAGATGATTCTGCATTCACTAACTTCAAGCAGGTAATTCGCTGTTTTAAAAATAAAATGAAAGAAGGGTAGCTCCTTACTATTTTGAATAAAAATAGCTGTTTGTATTTTCCATGCATATATGATTGTTGGTGAGTTGCTCAAAAAATCAAGATTGCCATCGGATAATGAAATTATTCAATTTCTACAGTTGGATATGTTCTTTCATTCAATTATTATTCCAAGGTCCACTATGCTTCCCAGTTCCCAGTAATGTAGTCAAAGGTGAAGGACACTCGCGCCGTTAGGCCTGTAAAATGCTTAAGGCAAGAGGTGCTAGAAAGACATTCACCTGAGTGAACTGTATACTGGGGAGTTTCTCAAATATTTGTGCGTGGTTTTGTTGCAAAGGAGGGAAAATTTCACATCGTGTAAAGCGAGAACATCATAGCTCATGAATGGCTTTGTTGAGCAGTCTTTCAAATATTTGTACTGAGGTTTCTGCATAGGAGAATAGAAGTGTAATATATGATCTTCCATTATGGGTGTATTGAAGTGGAGCGTGAATGAGACGATAATTTATACACGTATCTCTTGCCATCTTCAAGGGTTGCCTATTTTCCAAATGGTGTTTAAAGTTTTTGCACCATTTGCCAGCAAGCAACCAAAATTAAAATATACGGCCTTTGCTTAGCATTCATCAAAGCAAAGATTCCTTTGGTTGATTTCCTTCTGCTCAGCCTACATAACTACTTTTTTTTTTGGGGGGGGGGGGGGAATCATGATGACTAACTTATGCCATAATTTTTACTGACCATGTAGATTATTGAAGAATGGACAGCACAAGTAAGATCAAGAACAGGTAAAAAATTTTCCTCATTCAAATAATGATTGTTTATCTATGTGTGTTGGAAGCGCTTGTTTCCTGAATAAGGGTTCAAATTAAATGACAGTTTTATGCAAGACAAATATACAGATGTCAGGAATTCTGTTTTGCATAGATTTCATATCTCGGAAAGTGAGGATGTTATTTATGACCATAGTTTTCGACTTATTTATCCTTTATCTTGTTTTTAACCTTCGTGCTTCATTTATTTGTATTCCTCTCGAAGCTAATGTATGGAAGGGGGGGGGCTTGTGTCTGAAGTTCCTGGGGGCTTTGGATGGGAAGGACGTTGGGATTGAGGTCTGCTGTGTGGGATGAAGGGAAAAAGAGGGGGATATTGGGTTGAAGTGGATTTTTTCCCCATGATTAATTACCATGATTGCGTGTTGTTGCAGGGGACGAAACCCATGATTCGGACTCTGGAGACGTGAACAAACTGCTCTTCTCAGCTATTGTTGAAAGCAATTGAGCTGCTCTAGCAAAGATTATAGATGCCACCGTTAGTTTGTTCTGCATCATTTAGATGCTTCTCTGTTAGTTTGTTCTGCATCATTTAGATGCTTCTCTCTCTCTCTTTTTTTCAAGCAGCAGATTGTACGTAAACCTCTCATTTCTCATTATTCAATCTCAATAGAGTCTCTGTTCACTTAAAAATAAAAAATCTGTTCATATCGCCAGATCATTCCTTAGGGTTGCATTTGCAGTTTTGGAAGACGAACTCGAGCCAAATTTACTGTGGCTATCAAGTTGAAAATTAGCATTTGCTTTAAAATAGCACATAACGATCAAGTCAACGAAATATTATATTTCAGTTACCCAGAGGGCAACATAGAGAAATGAGGTGAACAAATTGTGAAACCATCCGGTGACGTTGTGACATCAGTTGGACCCAAGTGCATGCATTGCAGCTTTAGAATTCCACACTGCAGTCACTTGTAAATATTTTCCGAGAGCTCTATATCTCTTCATACAAGAACAATAAATGCTGAAGTTACTGGAGTTTCTCTTACAAAGGAAGCTAGTTGAAGACGGATGTTGAAATGAGATAGCAAGAATGGTTGCAGATTGATTTGTTCTAAAAGCCGGCGAGCGAGGCTAGACAAGACCAGATGTTGTATTCGAGATTGTTCGCGACATTCATGAGCTTGTTAGACAAAGAAGTTCCCTGCCAGAAGTAAAAATTGCACAAGGATGAAAAATTCCAGAGAAATCACCGCCGTTAATGTTATTGATCCGGGTTTACATAAGCCCAAGGAAATAAAGGCAAAATATGCGGCCATCGTCTCATCCGCGTCCTAGGGTTAACAGCACGCTGCGTTAAATCACTGAGCAAATACATAAGGAGCTCAGCACAGACACAAGAAGCAGGTGTTTGGATGAAAATCATATTTTAAAAGTAATTTTACAGCAGACAAAACAAATACTTGGATGAGTTTATCTTGATTTAAAAAAAAGACAAAGTACCTCTAGAAGATATTTTTGGCAGCAGCGAAACACCTCCAGCGACGCGGAGAAAGGCAGAGTAAACCAAAGGTGAGGCATAATAAGCCTAACTGCGCACTAAATAACCAGCCCAACGGCAACTGATAAGGTTCAAACGGGCCCACTAGGAATAGTAGTTAATCTTTTTTTTTTTGGGGGCCAAAGAATAATAGTTATTCCAGTCAGGCAATTTTGGTGGATTCAGTAGGATCTTCAGCGATTTCCATTTCCATTTCATTATTTAGATGGCGAGACCGTCTGAAAATAATGCAATGGCATTGGTTTTTTCCTGCGTTTCCACTTACTCTTCTTGGTCATATAACCACTGTTCGCGATATCCGTGAGTCATACTTTGGGACAAGCTCAAATGCACGTGTTTTCCTCGACAGCAAAACGCGGGGTGTCGGAAATAAGAAATATCTAGGGTTGGATCCGCCCAACAGGGGGGGAAAAAAACTTTCTTTTTAAATCTTAATATTCACAAAGAAAAACTGTCAGATTTTGCCCCGCTAAAAATAATAAACCCATGTTTCCTCTGGTTTGCCCCTTTCCTTTCCAGGGTTTTTATTTTTCTAACGGAAGTTGGTCTCAACTTTAATACTACAACTGAGGGCTCCAGTGAGCACGAGGCAGAATAATTCCCAGTATTTTATGAATATTAATTAATTAATTAATATCATTAAGTAGGAACACCGAAGTTGAAGAGTGTCAGCAGGACTTTGGGAACGAGCAGGTTTCAGTATGTATAGAGTGCTACGTAGCACATCTTCAATGCATTTTGTGCAACCTGATAATTTCATTTGTGTTTCTTAGGTGATACATTAAGTGGGTATTTAGAAAACTATAAAAATACTTTTAGAAAGTATTTTTTTTAAATTGAAATAAACTCTTTTATATATTTATTTTGTATACTGTAAAATTATTTTTAAAACTATGATTTCGTTTTCATCCAAATACATCATAACATAAGCGTGGCGAGATCCTTGGAATCCACGAGTCAAAGGATTTATGGCTGCCACATTAGTTTATATTTAATTAGTTAGGCAGGTGTCACCGGTCTCCGCTTTGAATGACGATAACGCCCCAGACAACTACAAGAGTGACAACAAACGTCACCTCTTGCGCTGATAGACTCTTGCCCCTTTCATGCAAACAGACAACACAACCTCTGCTCAACTCAAATTCCCAGTATCCCTCACATTTAGTTTATAGCTCCGATCATGCTAATTTTATAGCAATAACAGAGCTCATCTCTGCTTATCCACTTCACAGCACAAGAGAATATACAAATCTGATGGGTTTGAGGTACTTGGCTGGGTTAGGGCTGATTGGAGCATTTGTGTTGATATGGGTTGCTTCTGCAGAGATAACTCAGGTTTGGGTGTTTTTTATTTTTGGTTTTTCCGTTTTCTCCCTGTTCTTACTTTATTTGACTTAAATGACACTTTTCATGTGCTCTCTGGATCCGTTTAACTTCTTTTTAATATGTTACTTTGTGTGAGTACGAGATCAGAACTTTACAAATTAGTTGTGGTGAAACTGAAAATGTGTCAGTTAAGAAAATATAATATGGGCAGGCAGTTCGGTCCTGTGCGGTGCCCTTTTCAGACATGTGTTTCTAATTGTTTTCTTTGTAATTTGTTCTTACTTCTCAATAATTAACATCTGGAAATTTCTATTATATATGCTAAGATTGGTTATACTGAAGATGTGCTCTGTTCCTGCAGAGGATTTTTACAGAGTATAAACAGCCATTTGCACTGTGTTACGTTTGGATATCTTTGATGGCGATTCATTTACCTATTTCAGTCCTCAGACAGAAGATCTGCAAATTATTGAAAATGTTATATAGAAACCTTCACAAGAATTACTCTTCAGTCACCTCTTCCTCTGGATTTAGTGCCACTCTTGGAATTGAAGAGACTCACCAAGCGGCAGACACATATCTAAAGAACTGTTTACTTGTTGACAAGGAAATAAGTGAAAGAGAAGAGGGAAAGCCTTTTGTCAAGAAAGAGGAACCCCACTTGCTCCCAGAAAATTGTGAATATTCTTCCTGGGAAATTGCCAGGTGTGGCTTATACCTCTGTCCAATATGGTTTGCATCAGAGGTAACAACATTGCTGTGAATATCCTATTTAATTTAAAGATTTGGCTCTCTATTACCTTCCAAATTGTTTCTGGAGACTCAATATGCAAGGTGGCTACAGGTAGAAACAGAATCGTATTAATGTTGCCAAAGACAAAACATTGAACGCGTTGTTTCTTGAAAAACTTAGACAGTTAACTGTTATGAACAACTAAACAATAGGGGTAAACTGAGACATGCCTGTTAGAATTACAACCTAATCTCTCAAGAACATTTTCCCTATCTGATCTCATCTATGTTTGCTGCAAATGATTGGACTTGCAGTATATGTCAAACCTGGCACTTGCAAATACCAGTGTTGCGAGTACAACGGTTCTGAGCTCCACATCAGGTCTTTTTACCCTTTTCTTTGGAGTTATTCTTGGTCAGGACTCAGTAAACATCACTAAGGTGATCGCTGTGCTGATCAGCATGTCAGGTGTTGCCATGACAACAATGGGAAAAACGTGGGCAGCAGATGACAAGGAGTAAGTTTGATGTTCCTGGACTTCTCCTATGATGTTTTATCTGACTTGTCAATATTAGAGTTGGCCCACCATGTTCATTTTCTGTTGTAATTATTCTTTCAAATTCTGAAACTGGGAATTGTTCTTGTTGGTAAGGGCTAGAAATCACTCTATCGCTGGGGACACTTTCGGTCTACTCTCCGCAATATTTTATGGCTTATTCACAGGTGTGACTATCAAACTTGCTGTCCGTTCTATAGTCAGATTGAATTGTGACTCTGCATATTGTATAATTAATCAAAGAGTCATCTAACTGCAGTGCTTCTCAAGAAATCTGCTGGAGCAGAAGGAGAAAAGCTTGACATGCAAAAGCTTTTTGGCTACATTGGTCTCTACTGTCTCCTTGGCTTTTGGTGGCTAGGTAAGCACATTACCCTCTACTATTTATTGATTGGAAAGTGTTCTGTGGTTGCCCTCTCCTGTTATAAGCGAGGATTCAAATTTCAGCCTCCTTTCTTTGTGGAACTCTGCTGATTTGAGCTCGTTGATGCAGCATGGCCACTAAGTGCTGTGGGTATTGAGCCTCCATTTGAACTTCCCAGTTGTTGGCCTACCGAGGAGATTGTGATTGCAAATGGGTTTTTGTCCAACATAATTTCAGATTATTTTTGGTGTGTTGAGCCCTCTCTATTATTAATAACCTTGATTTGTCGGGATTTGAAGTTTAATATCAGTGACTGATAAACATGATCCTTAAAATGAACAATGTGACAGGGCGCTTTCAATAGTTTGGACGACTCCTCTGGTTGCTACTCTGGGCATGTCATTGACAATTCCTCTAGCAATGATAGCTGACATGGCAATACATGGCCGCCAATACTCTGCAGTCTACATCCTCGGATGCTTTCAGGTATCGCTCCACGGCTCCACCCTTCTCTTCGGAACTCATCTCTTGCATTTATGACAAGTTTAATTTATGACTTATAAATAGTGCAAATTTCTGTATTTTTACTTTTAACATAATCTATATATTTACTTGTTGACTTTCCACTAATGTCCATGGAAAGCAGGTTTTTGCAGGATTTGTTCTGGCTAACCTTTCAGACAAATTCTCAAGAAAGAAGCCAGAGATTACCACATGATCGTTTGTGAAGCATAATTTGTATGTTCAACTGGACAGAAACTCGATGATGTGGCTAGAATTTTTAGTTGTAACTTTTAATTGTAAAACAGTATCATCTGACTTAAAAAGTTTGGAGTAGTGAGCACTTTTGTTCTCCAAAAAAATGGTTTATTATATATCTAATTGGACATCGACTTCGTATAAAAAGTTTGATAATTAGGTTGTGATATTTATAAATAGTATGACTTGTTATAGATTATATATATTTATATTGATAATACTGATTATCGACGTAAGTTTTTCACATCAAGCCATATTTCTTCAGGCTTGCAATTGAATTTAGAAAAAGTCTTGTGGTCAAGGTTAGTTCATGTACACTACGTAATTACAGATGACTGGCTGTCGTTGAATTTTGACTGCTTGAGTGGAAAATTTACAGTTAGGATTTAAAAGAATTTTTTAATGGCCGGGGCGCCCAATTGCGCGGAATTTTTTTCGTCCTTTTTCTTGGCCGGATGCCAAATTCCGTGGAATACGTCTTTAAAATTATAGTTAATGAACAAAATGTACAAATAATATTACCCCCCAAAAAAAAAAGTACAAATATTTAGACGAATACGTTAAAAATAAAAATATAACGGAAAATTCGATAGTGAGAGGTAGCAGAGCAAATAAGACGGAAGATGCGATTTAATGACAGTAACAGAAAAAAGGGCCATTGCTTTGATGAATTTAATTTTAATTAATACTACCTCCGGTCTTTAATATAAGATCTTATTTGACTTTTATTTTGGTTTTACATTACATATAAGACCCTCTTCCACTTTGTCTTTCATATTTATATATTTTTTCTTAAAGTAGTCTTTCTAACAATTATAGTTCTAGTTAATACACTTGATTAGTAAAAATATTTTAAGGAAAAAAACACGTATTTATTTCAAACAACTAATTTAATTTCTTTCTTTAATCTTCTCAAATTAATCAACTAGCTCTTATAATTAGGATAATATAAAAGTTATTCTTAACTCAAAAAATATTGCATTGTGCTTCTATTGGTTTTTCATATCACGCTCCCACCAACTTTTGGTTAAATTACTATTACATAGTTATTACTTTGGTCCTAATTATAAAATATCATTTATAAACTAATTTAGTGAAAAAAAATTATCGAGAAATCACCGGATTGGTCAGGAATTAGAACATTAGGCTTGTTTGTCTAGTTGTATCCAGTTTTTCAATTAAAAAAATATATATATTAGGCTGTACAAGCAGAGTCGTGCTTCATTGACTCGTATTAGGAAGAACCGACCTCTATTAACGTATTATTCTACACATAGGCCGTAAAACTGCCGCATGTTTAACATTGATCAGCTTTTTTGGATTGAAAAAGTCAGCTCTTGGCATGGCAAAATACCATCCCAAACATAGCCTAAAGGACAGCTTTCTCATTGATTCTGGTCGGGACAAGTTGCAAGCTCTCTTCAACATCCTCGCTCATTCTCTTTCCCAAAACCTCAGAAGGAAGCAAGCCCTCAGGATGATCAGCCTTAGGGACAAGGAAGATCAAAGAAAGAGTGGCAAATCTCAGAATATTCCTAAGAAAAACAGCTAACCAGAGGTTAGTGAAGTCAGACCTAGTGACGTGGAAGAGATGAAGAACCACACCTCCTATAGTTCTTGACAAGAGCATGCCAATACTATCAATGCACATTAACAGAGCAAAGAAAGTGCCCTCAATGCCTAAAGGGCATAACTGGGTGCTCAATACAATCATGGGCATCCATCTGATTTTGCTTGAGATTCGAGTCGCAGTTTCTTCTATGACAACGAAGAAGTAATCAGGGATTCCCAGGTTCAAATTCCAACGTAGGACGAACAAGAGATCCAGCATACCAGATATGGCATATAGGAGCTGTGCATAGAGTAATAAGGTTCTAAATGGCAAGTCTTTCAAAGTCTTGTGGTAGATCAGAACACCTATTATCGAACCTACTGCACCAATGGCATAGATCATGCCAACGAACTCCTGCATTAATAGTAAGAAATAGTTGAGTGTTGTGTAAGAAATATGGTTCTCGTCGGTCAGCAATGGCAGAATATAGAATATAGAAGAAAGACCTGAGAGAATGCAGGGCCAGCTTTTGGATCTGTGTACCAATAGAAATGGCCTTCGTGAGTGCTTATGCTCAAAGCCAAAGACAGGAACATGTACAGAGAAGGTTTCCACACTTGAGGATACATTATTGTCTGGCACATGCTCCTAATGGTCGTACTAACGTTCTCCATCACCTGCTAAAAGGATAATACTTAATACTCTAATTTGCAAAGATTAAAAAATCAGTTTAGTTGTTTATAAAAATGAGCTAACTTTTCTGAAGTACTTATTTTAATCAATTTGTAATGGATACTACTGGTGAAAAACCCTTTTGATATACTACTTCTGCTCCTTAATATAAAAGCTAGTTGACTAATTTAAATAGATCAAGGAAAGTACTTAAGTTAGTGATTTGTAATAAATAAGTATTGTCTTTCTTAAAATATCCTTGCTCATCAAATTTATCAGTTAGAACTATCATTATTATAAGAATTACCATGGGAAAAAATAGATAAATATGAGAAATAAAATGGAGTGAGATCTTAAATTTAGGACTAAAATAAAAGTCAAACAAAATCTAATATTAAGGACAGGAAGTAGTATATACAATTAACAAAGAGAGTTTGGGGGGGGGGAGGGAAATGATAGAACCAAAGCAAAAACCTCTAGTCTTACATTTAAGATCAGAGAAAGTGGCATTAATGCCATTATAATTATTAACGCTAGATGTTGGAAACATGCAGAGGGAAGATGTCTTGGTTTTAGTTATCTTCTTTGCTCTCTCTTTATAACGTGGAGATGCTTATGTTGTACTCAGACCAAAGAAAAATCTACAAAATATCATATCCCTTGCTTCATGGCTCATCAAATCGATACTTTCATGTCAAGCAACAACATGCCTTTTCTGAATGAAAGAATTTATCGCTAACTTTTAGGTAGAATCAGATTGCCAACGATGAGTCTATAGTAGAAAGTAGCTAACCTGCTTCTTTCCATGATGGGAGCCGCTTAATTTATGTTCATAGATCACAAAACCCAGCACAACAAGCAAAGCCGGTGGCATTGCCAACAGACCCAGTGAACCCTGCGAAAAACCTGAAGTCAAGCAAAATAAAATATATAGCGAAGATTACAGGAGGCAATAATGCGAAAATTATCATGATATAGATACGAAAATAAGTGCCGTTTTTAGCAGTAATCTGGCAAATACATTAGTATATTAGTGTATTATGCAAAACAGTAGAAATAGTAAATATAGCGCGCGGCAATTACAAGAACAGTTTCTCCTTGGGCTTTAAACAGTGACTTCGTATTATAATCTTTTTACCTCGAATATACGTTTATGATTCTTTTAAAAAAAAAAAGAACAGCATGGATAAGCAATAAGGAAAATGAGCGCTGACCTGCGGACCAAGATGATGAACGAAAAAGCCACTACTGGAAAACCCAATCAGAGCTCCAGTAGAAGAGCAAAATCCGCAAAGACTCTGCAAATCAGGGGCCAGTGACCTAACCTCGATGCTATTCCTCGCAATACAGGCGTCAATGGTGACATCGGCAATGGCCATAGACGCCGACACGCCAATCAAACAAAGCAAAGCCACCACAACAGGCAAATTCGCCTGCACAGCTATCGTCAATCCCGAGACGACGCCGAGAACTCCGGCAAGCACGAAGTAGGGCCGGCGCCGGTACCCTCGAACCGGGAACGTATCGGTGAAGATACCCCAAACCGGTTTCATGACCCAGGGAATGAAGTAGAGACCGGCATAAAGCTGAACTACGGAGGGCTGGACCTTCTGTACGTCCTTCCAATAATAGTCGGAGACCACCTTGAAGAAAGATCCGGAAAAGCCCTGACCCAGACCGTAGACGAGGAATACACCGGCGATGAAGGTGGGGTTCAGCTGAGAAGATAGCATTGTCAGCCATTGAAAGGGTTCGAGGACGAAGGAAACAAGGCCGGTAGTTCTTGGGGCTGGACTTGCAGGACTTTTCAAGGGATCAGAATCTTCGTTTCGATCATCTGGAGGTGACATGGTGAAATGGGTTACGGGCAACTGAGGGAATAGTGAGAGGGAATATTGGTGTGGATTCAGAGGGCATGGAGGTTGGATCTGGGTTCAGTGGGAACGCAAATGGCAGACAATCTGTGAGTGAAATTGCATATTGCTTAATTCTTGACTCTGACTGACAGATATCGGTGAGGTGGTTTTGTGGCCAGACTTTTGATCTTATTGAACCCAAAAAAAACGAAAAGAAAAAACCCCCCAGTCTTCGGCACTTCCCTGGAAGTCTGGGACTGACTGCGACATTAATCAATTCCCTCGCTGATGTGTTTCAAATGCAGAGGGTGTTAATTCGACAGTAATCAAATTTATTATGTTTTTCAATACAATTAAATAAAATAATCAAGCTAGCGCAAAAATTATCAGACAAATATGGATGATCATATATTTTGACCCTTTGAACTTCGACTAGGGATGGAGGTTGATGAAGATTGAGCTAACTTTTTTTAATATCATCTTGTTTTAAATATTTGTTTCTGGTTCTTCCCTTTTCTTGACTAAGATTCTTTGATGTCACTCTGATGTTGCCTCATTACAAGTTATTGATATATCCATTTTCATTAAAAAAAAAAAAGGATGATTCTTGTATAAAACACTTTTCAAATTCTTACTTATACTCGTGTAATGAAAAAGGGGAAAAGAAAATACAAAAACATTTTTTCATTAAGGCTTTATTTTCTCTTAAACAAGTACCTTTTTTTAACACCTAAAAAGTGGTTGATACTATATCTACTTCTTGATATAAGAAATTGTTTGATTTTTATTTTCATTTTAAATATAATATTTTAATTTATCTTTGTTTTTTATATTTATTTATTTTTTAAGATAGTTCTTGCAATAATAGTAATTCTAACCAATACACTGAATTAGTAAGTATATTTTAAAAAAGACAACACCTATTTATTACAGATAATTAATTTAATTAATTTTTTTAATCTATTTAAACTAATCAATTAATTTTTATATTAAACATGTGAGGTACTCCTCCGGTCCTAATTATAAGACCCAATTGACTTATTTGAGGAGATTAAGGAAGTAAGTTAAGTTGGTTATTTATAATAAATAAGTGTTGTTATTCCTAAAATATCCTTGCTAATTAAGTATATTGGCTAAAACTATCATTATTAAAAGGATTATCTTGGAAAAAAATGCATAAATATAAGAGAGAAAATGGATTGGGTCTTATAATTAGGACCAAATAAAAAGTCAAATTGGGTCTTATAATTAGGACCAGAGGAGTAGTAATTTATCGTTGACCCTAGCCAGATTTTATCTCTCGGTCATCGCTGTATTTGTTTTCCACGTGATGATCGATTTATATCGGTGCTGGATTGTTGTCTCTTGCAAGTGCTGTATCTCATTCTCTTTGTTAGGTATGCGAGTTCATATTTCTTTTTCCTTTTTTTTTTTTGGAAAAACACACGAGTTCATATTTCATTTGTTACTCGTCCTTGCACAATGAAGGTCCATTATTTTGCCCCCAGTGGGATAAGCATGTCAACCCACTAGTCACGTTCGACGTGTTAATTTCACATTTTCCATTCGTTTGGTCAAAAATCAAAATATTTAATAATGAAATCATTTATTAAACCCATATTGATTTATAATAAAATAATTAAAGTTAATAGGAATGAGAGTATGATCAAAATAATAATAATTAATATTGTTTCGGATTTTTTTTCTCCGAGCACAGGTGATGACCGGCACCATGGTCTGTTAATTTAATTTACATATCCATCAAAGTTTTCCCTAACATTTTATTTTCCTCTCCGTCTCTCAACAACCCGGTCTCTTCTTTAGATTAGCCATTAATTTTTATATAAAAAGGGTGGGAAAATTACTTTGATTCAATTAAAAGAAAATGAAACCAGTCTGGCACCAACCAACTCAATAAATAAATCTTTTTGCCCTTTTTGTCTCCCTTTAGTCTCTGGGTTTTGGCACAATTGTCTCCCTTTAGTTAACTCGGCTATTGGATTGGGATGGAGTACGGACCAGTTGGCTGAGCCCAGCAAACAGCAAATGCGTTACACTTGGAGAAATGACTCATTACTGTTTGTTAATTACACAATTTATTAGAATTTTTATATCACACACAAAATGTCAAATATAAAATTTACAATAAATTATAAAATTCACGAGTCATATTCAATACATTTTCATAGCCTATAATGGTATATGACTTGCCCTCCCAAAACTGATACTCTCACTATTGGGAAAACAAAATAAAAATAAAAGTCAATACTCTTATTATTAAAAACAGGTAAGATAATTATAGACAATCTGTCACAAATTATTACAGGCTCCTTCCTCCTCAAGGCATGACCGGGATTCTGTTTCCTATTACTGCTACAATTTCCAACTCTCAACCTCACGCTGCAAGTAATCTCTGGACATCCTTCTGCAAATAGGAAATACCATAGTAAGCATAAATCACAGACTATGGTCTGTGATGATTGGGGGACATCAGCATTTGATAACAAATTACGAAACATTTTCATTTCAGCTTTCTTCCAATGATCACGATCCTTGGCTTTGATATATAGTCATGGATGGCAAGCAATTCTAGAACTACCCATATATGCTCTCAAAGTTTTCTCTATCAAGAATATTCCATCATTCAGGGATACAACCAAACTGCGAGGGAACCAAGCAGGAAGGCTAACATACCTCAATTTGAAACGGTGAGGTTGTTGGTGGGTATCTGTTAATAACTTTACCATTTTTATCAACCAAGAACTTCTCAAAATTCCACTTCACGAGATCACCCAGAAAGCCTCCAGCATTGGATTTCAGGAACTGGTAAACTGGAGCTGTGTTTGGTCCATTCACATCAACCTGATACAGAACTTTGACATTTTTTACTAATATTAACTGAGCTACAGTTACTAATAGAAAGAAAAATCATATAGACTAAACCTTATCAAAGATTGGAAATTCTGCTTTGAACCGAGTGCAAGCAAAATTTTTAATTTCAGGATTTGATCCAGGTTCTTGCCCACCAAATTGATTGCAGGGGAAAGCCAAGATCTCAAACCCTGGAAAGTGGAAACAAATCGCACAGCGCACTAAGAATCGTAAGGATAATGAAGCAAATCACATCCTTGGCTAAAAGTCTTAGTGTCATACTCCAGAGAGCAACTATAAACTTGGATGATTCACTCGAATGGACTTAAGTCACTTAATCTATTCACCAAGAATTTGAATAAAGCATCACAAAAGGCAACGAGAATATACAGTAAAAGCCACAAATAACCAATAGCTTGCCATATAAATATATTATATCCTGCGAAGAAAGACCTAAAATGAATGTTTTTCCTAGTGATTTTATCAACAATATGGAGTCTTGCAAAAATTGAACAGTAAAACATGCAGGGGAGGTAAGTTCCTCATAACAAACGTAATTGTACTTGGCATCTACATCTGAAAATACGAAAAAGGGGGGCCGGAAACCAACAACAGGAGATATTTAAAACTTCTACAAAAAATTTACCAACAACTCTTCTAAAGTCATCCGTGCCACAGCATACCTTGAGGTTTGTATTTTTCGTATATGTGTGAAAGTTCCGAGTAGTTTGACGATGTTAAACCACTGTCATTCAAAGAAAATTTATTCAAGTTAAAACTTACAGAAACTTCGGCATAACTGCATAATTCCACATGCCCCTGAAGCTGATTCGATTTTTGCACTAAACTGAACAAAGAGAGACTAGGAAGGAAGACTAAAAGAGGGCAAGTTTGGCTATAATACAAATTCTAGTAGGTATATAGCCTCATCGTGGATTCAGTACCATTTTGAAGCAACGTTGACAATCAAAAGAACCTTGCCCTTGAACTTGCTAAGAGAAACATCCTTCCCATCAATATCCTGCACCGTATAATAATCATGAGCGCACTATCCGTGCTCGAAATTACAGTTCTGGAAAAATCAAATATCGATTCCATCAAGCCATATATCATATATATAACAGCTAACGCTAAATTGAAATTCCAAGGTCATCACGTTTAAAAAAGCGGGGAAACAGAAACGCGAGACTAACCAAGATGGAGAAAAATGGAATCATAAACTAAGGACGACGAGAGAACATGTACTGTTGGAGAAATTTCCACGGTCAAATTAAGAGGATAATAGAAAAGAAAATCCGGCCGATACCTGGACAGTAAAATCATGAATGCTTTTCTCCGTGGCTGCTCTGGCATAAACACCAGAAGATCGAGACTTAGCAGTGAACACAGGAAAATCGGATGAAATTTGGGCAAACCCATGTTGAAAGAAGATCGACTTGGCGGAACCAAATGAGGTTTTAATGGACGGAACGAAGGCCATACATGGCCATGAAGATGAAGAATTTGGGATCACTTTAGCTTGACAGAAATTGTGAAGAGGGGTAGTGAAGCTGGAGGCTGCCGCGAAAGCCATGGAAGCCGAATAACTGCTTGAATTGCTAAGCCTTACGAGTCCGAATCCGATGCCCCTCGCAGTGAAATTGAGGGAAGGAACGTGGAGACTTTATTTAAGGCCCTCTCGGTGCTTATGAAAATGGCGCTTACACGCAGCCACGTAGGTTCTGGATCCATTTTTGTTTCTAATCCACAAAATGTATAGATACTCATTATAAGAGCTAGTTGATTAATTTGAGAAGATTGAAAAAAAAAATTAAATTAGTTATTTACAATAAATAAGTATTGTTTTTTTTAAAATATACTTGCTAATCAAATGTATTGATTAGAATTATTATTGTTAGAATGACTATCTTGAAAAAAAATGTATAAATATTGGAAACAAAATATATTGAAGGTTTATATTTAGAACCAAAATAAAAGTAAGACCTGAGGTAACATAAATTAAAAAAATAAGTTAAATTAATTATTTATAATAAATATACATTATTATTTTTAAAATATCTGTTAATTGGTTATAACTATTATTATTAGAAGAGTAATTTTAAAATAAATAAATAAATATAAAAAATAAAATAAACTGAAATCTAATCCAGTGTCTTCTTCGGCCGAGAACAGAAACATCCAAAGTCTTCTAGGGCTGGGCCAAGACTGTTAATCTGCATCAAATCACCGGACGCATTTGGAGGAGGCGTTACCTGAGTTAAGATTCTCAACCCTTTTTTCAAAGAAAGGTAAAAAAATTAAGTTGGCGCATTAATATAGAAACCTGACACGTTGGCTCCCCAAAAAAAAAAAGGACTCACACAGGGATTCATATCTGGTTCCACATGAAGGTTTAGAAAGAAAGCTAATACTTCATCAGTAATTATGAATGAAAAACGATACATGGGCGGACATAATTGATGAGTTTAGTCTTTAGGCTATGGGCTTCAGGCTTCCATACAAAGCCCAAACAGCACTCTGCTTTCTGGGCCCTAAAATGGGCTTGCGGTGTTACTTCGTTGGACTGACAATATATCCATGTGTGTGGATGGATACACACGGACACGCGCAGAGATACGCGTCATGTAGAGAGATTTGAAAGCGGCTAAAAAATGCTAGATCAAAGCAGCGAATCTCAATTAAGAATGAGAGATTCTATATTTAGAAGAAGAGGTGATCCCTGAACGACAGAATCCGCACGCGTTATTGAGAATGGAAAGGAAGATGATTGCAGCAGAACTAGAATCATCCCTGAATCTGTGAGTAAGAGGAAATTATAGGCCTTGTGACATTACGTGTGGTACTGGCTCTTGAACGTGGAAGCATTCCTTTGTTGGGAGACATGTGAATGTGGTTTAGCAGCCAACAAGCTTCCTGGGCATGTGAGCTCCCGGATTTGAATCAAGATCTCTGATCCGCTTCCTTAATTTAGGGGGTGTTTGGATAGAAGTCAAACCATGATTTCAGAAGTGCTTTTACGAATTACGAAGTAAATATGTGGAGGAGGTTACCTCGTTTTGCGGAAAATTGATTCTGAAACCGTGGTTTTGGTTTTGCCAAACACCCCCTTAATATTATTCTAAGATTTCATTCTCTGCATCACTATTCTCAGATTTCGTACAAGGAAACGTGATTGCGTGAATCTTCTCATTGCTTTAGGAAGATATGGGTTGCAATTACGACGCAGATCTTGCCCCTTCTCAATTGGAGTGGCTCGAGATTTACAAAGCCGAAAAGCTTCCGCTTTTCCACACCATGCTTTGTTCCACAAGATTCAGGCTCATTTTGTTAGTAAGCCCCGCAAACTCTAGCGCAAACTAATATTCCTGACAGCACTTGGCATCTTCTCCTGTTTCTCAGCTGTTGAAGGAGCCTTGCGTCCAAAAGATTTGGCTGTATGATTTGACGAGTAATTTCAAGTTTCCTAAGTTTTTTGCCCTTTACGTATAATACCAAATTAATTATGCCACCGTGAGAGCTGCTGTGCGTATTCCAGCAATAGTTTATAGGCGTCTGGTTATCTCGTTCCAAACAAGTAGTACTATTTTCTCCCCAGGAAAACAAAAAATTTATTATATCCTTAATATCATCATTTTAAAAGTGGTTGTGTATTTTCATTCGAGAGCATAATTTTTTTCCTGGCTAATATCTAAAAATTTATTTTGTTTTATTAAGAATAATAAAAAAAAAAACCGTTTCGATGTGGATAATGCTTACGCGCTCAGGGCCGCCTTACCGTGGATATTAAAAATTAGGCCGAGCGTCTTGACTTTGAGAGTGAGCGAATGCTTCGATCGGATGGATAACGAAGTCCTTTTCTTTCTATACAGTTTTTTTTTTTGGGGTTCTGAAATCGAACGCTCCTCAACTCAAGGATGCGAGATGCTTTAAATAAAATAATTAAAAAAACCGGGAAATCAAGACAGTGAAGGGCCTTTTTTTTTTTTTTTTTTAATTTTTCTTCTTTTCAAGGAAACTGAGACAGGCAATCATGGAACGAAATGTTGTCAACTTGTCATAGCCCCGTGGTGAGTCGCTCAGAGGCGTTGATTAAAAGATTGTCTTATGAAATATCTTCTCTTTTTCTCGTCAGTCGCCGCTGTACTCCTCCTTCCTTCTGCTCGAGGCCGTCGCTTTCCTCGCTTCTTTCGCCCCTTTAAGCTTTCTCATCCTTTCCCATCCTCCCAGCAGACTGTAAAATTCTCGTGCCTGAATCGCTGAGTTACCTTCAAGTCACTCTCCCTTACTTGCCTTTGCTTTCATTTTAGCTCTGATCTCTGAGTCTGCACGGGGCCTTTGCTGGCCAAGTGAGTATGCTCAGATTATGGATTCTAGTTGTGAATTATAATTTCTTTTTATCCTTTTTCTAATTTATTTTCTGCCTCTTTAATCATCTGGGTCTTCCTTTATTCTACCGCTCTTGAATTTCTTCTGTTCCCGCATATTTCTCATCAGCTATCAGAGTAACTTCCATATTAATTTTTGCTATATTCTAGCAAACTTATAATTGCAATTCGAAATTCTTAAAACTTATGAATTCTTTCGGAATGCATTTGCAGACGATACATCAATTTTTAACCGATGTACTTTGTTTGATATATGTATATATATTGGTTGGTTAATTCTGCCCATTCTGGTGTGGTCTGCAGTGACTCCTTCGTGAGTTTAAGCTCCCTACCTCAAAGCATCTGGACATTATGGTCATCTTCCAAGTTTGTGTATAGTGTCTTTCAAAACAATACCTTCTGTTATCTCTCTAACGCGAGTACTCGTTAAATTAATGGAAACTCATGGTTTGATCAGCTCCCATTATTCCTTTTTTTATAACGACTATTCTGCTTCATGACGTGCGTGCCTAACCTGGGCTTCTTGCCGAACCTTTTGTTCCCTCCAATGTGCACCTCCCTATCTTTACCAACAATACAACAAAGTAGCAGTCTGCCATCAATATCTAATTTCTTATGTCTTTTTTTTTTTCACTTTCATTTATTGCTTATCTCAAATTTTTTTCACCCAACAATCCTAATTCCTTTTATTTTTATTCTGTTGTTTATCTTCCAACACGGTTAATGACTTCCCCTTCATTACGTGGCACAGTGTAAGATCATTCCATGGTCAATATCATTTTATTAAACTGTGTCAGTGAGAGAAAATATCCTACAATTTTATTGGCTTGAGCCTTCTCCCTAGTTCCCAACTTTAAAATCATTTCGTGATCAATTTGTCTCTCCTTAACTGTGATTGTCTCGCAGAATCATAAAATTCTCCATAATGTCTGCTACATTTACTTTTAAGTCTATTTTATTGGGATATTCTCTCTATCGGCATATCCACACACAATGTCGCTGGATTTATCTCCGTTGTTTACTGTTGTTCTTGACTTCTTTCTTGGAAGAGAACTATATAATGTGAACTGAGAAATAAGGAACTTTTCAAACCTTTGTTGCTTTAAAAAAAAATAAATTATTCGCTCATAGAGATCTGACAAACAATTATATATATCTGCAACATTTGAAATTACAGGGCACAGCTTCAAATGAATTTCGGATTTTTCTCGTCTGTAACTTGTTTTCGTCTGTGTTTTACTTCAGTTGCCCCAAAGATAGTAAAGTAGCGCCTCTCTGTTTGAGTTTAGAGAAGAATGGGTGTTTACCTCAGCACTCCTAAAACTGAGAAGTTTTCCGAAGATGGTGAGAATGACCATCTTAGATATGGTTTATCGTCCATGCAAGGGTGGCGTGCAACAATGGAAGATGCTGTGAGTATTTATTGTAATATATTCTAGTTCTATGTATGAAATACTTTTTTGCACATTGATCTTAAATCCTGTGAAATGAATATGCGTGACATAATTTGATAAAGATAAGTATGCCACATTCTATCAGCTAGCAGAGATTCTGATCTTCACACCTTGACTTAATTTTATTACATTCCTTTGTCTGGTCGCGATACCTTTTTGTCTTCATCATATGTTCTCATTTCTAATATGAAATAAATAGGCTCTTCTGCCATTTCTTTGGAGTATGATGGAGTGTTGGGAATATATCAACAAAAGTTCTGACTTGCGTAGAACAGTTTTGCTTTTATTTATTTGAATCTTCCGCATCAGCAGTTCACAATGAGCATTTTAAATAGCTCTTTTAGTGTTGTACACTCTGTATTTATGGTATAAACATATAAAACTTTATTCAAAATCTGTAGGAAAATTGAAAGTCCCAAAGGTTCCTTGCAATTTTGGTGTTATTGGAGGAACTAGATGATAATTATATTTTCATCCTTTTTCCATGCCATAAAGGGCCGATGAGATTACTAGTTAATTGAATTGGCATTTTATAGATAATGTGAATTAATCGATTGTCTTCATTTTAGAATTTACATCCCAACTCAATGAACTGGTTTGACTTGCATTGATTTTGGATATACTATTAATATTTATATGTTATTGATTTTAGAATTCTTTTCTCTTTACGTAGCATGCTGCATGTCTTGATCTGGATGCCTCCACTTCGTTTTTTGGTGTTTATGATGGACATGGAGGTAAGATTTAAAAATGTTTGGCTACTTGGGTTGATGGAAGTCTTTATCTCAACTCTAAAGATGATGGGTTCATATGTTGCATTGAGCTTGATAACTTTTTTTTTTTCATGTTTATCTTTTAATTAGCAAAATGAGAATCGGATTATGTTATCTATAAAAAGTAAAGTGAGAGAGAAGTTGTCAGTGCAAGAAAACTAAAAAGAAGAGAGGCTTTTCTAATCTCTGAATATATGAGAGATCTTGCAATAAGAGGCTTTTCTAATCTGTGAATATATGAGAGATTTTCTTGCAATAAGCATGTTATTCACATTTGTGTTGATTTCTCAGCCATATAGCCAAATGTAGAAGGTGTAAGTACAGTAAAATGCATGAGTATGATTCTGGTCACCTCTTGTAAGGAAGAGAAGAAAGTAGGAGTGAGGGGCTGGTACTGAAGAGGAATTACAGGTTGCGTGTTATCAGCAGTGTGTTCTGTCAAGGTTGCTAACTTTACCCTTGCACTTTTCAGGGAAGGTGGTTGCAAAGTTTTGTGCTAAGTATCTTCACCAGCAGGTGCTCACAAGCGAATCATATCAAGCTGGAGATATAGGAACCTCCCTTCAGAAAGCCTTTTTCAGGTTAGTGAAAGAGGGGAGCTCCTCTTTGTATCAAAAAAAGGGGAGCTCCTCCTGTTTAGTCAGTTAGGTCTAAAATCAATGCTGAATACCAAATATTTTTTCAACACGTAAGTCCTATAGTTAAATATTTTTTTGAACATGTAAATCCTATACTCGACATTGTCCTCATTGTTTAGTCCTATAGAAACATTCCACAAATTTTAGTTATTGGAAGATTATGATAATCAAGTATCTAGCTTTTCTTGATGGTTAACCATCTTTCCAGTTGATGCTGATGGTATAGCGTATGTTTCAGTGCTACATCTCATTTTCATAAAACTTATATGAAGCTGAGAAAATGAAGTATGACATTACCTCCTCTCTCCCCCCTTGGAAAAGGAAGAGACAGAGAGAAGTGTTTGCTCTTTCCTCGTGTACACTTCACTATCTTCCTACACTCGTTCCCGTGGAAGGATAGAAAGTTTTGAACTGGCCATTTTATTTTTATGCAGAATGGATGAGATGATGCGTGGCCAAAGGGGTTGGAGGGAATTAGCGGTCTTGGGGGATAAGATGAACAGATTTACTGGGATGATAGAAGGGTTGATTTGGTCTCCAAGAAACAGTGATAATAATGATCATGTTGACGATTGGGCTTTTGAGGAGGTAGGTGTAACAGTTTAGGAGGTTTACCATAAACTTTGTTCTTAACATCGCAGCTATCATTGCTTATGCTTCGTATTATGGTGCCTGAAACATGTCTTTGAGCGAAGATATGTTTATCTTTCCATTATAAGATACATGTTTCTTTGGATGTGCTGATCTTCTGGTTCTCTGTTTCATTAAGATTTCTTCTCTGTGTTTTATTTTAATTTATTTCCTTTTGTGGCCATTCAATAATTACAACTTGATTGGTGTATTTAGGGCCCACATTCTGATTTTGCTGGACCAACTTCGGGGAGCACAGCATGTGTTGCAGTTATTAGAGACAATCAATTAATTGTTGCGAATGCTGGTGATTCTCGTTGTGTGATATCTAGAAATGGTCAGGTAATTTATGGAACAGAAATTCTTGAACTTTTTTATTGTGTTAACTGCTTGCGTGTTTATTATTATATTCTTTAGGTACATAAATCTGTATACTGGTTAAAGCTAATGAGACGACTTTTTGAATATTTACAATAAGCTTTATAAATCTTCTCGTGTAGGTTCTATAATGAATGTTTGCGACTGAAGATTTGTTGCGGATAGTTATGGTTATTGATTATTATGACTCTGGTTTTTTTTACAGGCATACAACTTGTCTAGAGATCACAAACCTGACCTTGAGGCTGAGAAGGAAAGAATTTTAAAAGCTGGTGGTTTTATTCATGCTGGACGAGTTAATGGCAGTTTAAATCTTGCAAGAGCTATAGGTAAACCTTGTGATATTTAATTTAATTCCAAATCCCACCCCAACCTTCTAGGTGCATTAACCTTTAGCAGGACAGAGTAGTGTGGGTGTCCTCGATTTTTATTTTGGCTGGTTAAAGAAACTAGTAGTCATGATAAATAACAGAACCATAAATGGAAGGTAACTTTGTAGAATAAGCGAAGATCTCAAGTTCATTTGCAATTTCACGCACATGACCTTCCCTTGTTTGCTCTGGACGCAAATTCCCTTTAAATTTCCTTCTCCTTCTTCTTCCTCTCTCTCCGTGTATTCTTTTTGGTTTAAGAATGGCTAAATGTTTTTAATTTCTGTTTTGTTGCAGGTGACATGGAATTTAAACAGAATAAATTTCTGCCTGCTGAAAAACAAATTGTGACTGCCAATCCTGATATAAACACTGTTAAGTGTTTTTTCAGTTCAACTAACTTAATTGGCTTGCAACTTGTTTCAAGTATTTTTCCTTTAAATATTCGTATTTTCTGACTCCCACAATTTTTCGTTATCAACATGTTACAGGTTGAGCTTTGCGAAGATGACGAGTTTATAGTGCTAGCATGTGATGGCATATGGTACGCGCCTTATCTTTTTGTATTCCAGTTTTAATGCTGATTTTGTCAGACATTTAGAGGGAAAAAATGGTGATTGAAATCAATAAAATGTACTGCAATTGGGTTCTCATGTTAAACGCTCGGTAAGTTGCATACCTAATGAGCAGTGAGTGATGTTGTGCTTTTCTTTATGTTGATTGTGTTCAGGGATTGCATGTCAAGCCAGCAGTTGGTGGATTTTGTGCATGAACAACTGCGTTCGGTGAGCTTGAACTTGTTTCCTGATAAAATGATTATTTAATGAGTATAGTAACTGACAATTACTGATGATGACTATTATAAAGATATATATAATATTAATAAAAGAGTAATTGATCACGAGTGCAGGAAAGTAAACTTTCCGCGGTGTGTGAAAGAGTACTTGATCGGTGTTTGGCTCCGTCAACTGTGGGCGGCGAGGGATGTGATAATATGACAATGATATTGGTTCAGTTCAAGAAACCCAGCCAGTTCAAAGCAGCGGAAGCAGAAGAGCCATCTGCTGAAGCTGAAGCCAATACAGGGGAGAGGAGCCAGAGTGAGTGAGCAGGTTGTGTTTTTTCAGATGTGGATTGTATAGGGTGTGCCACTGACCACTGGTTAGAAATAATACACTAATGCAACAATTCTCCGTATAAAATATCCAATGTTGTATTGTGTTCCATTATCTTTTGTCTAGTATTTTCACTTCTGAACTGCGCGTCCTGTTTTGCTTGTAACTCTTCTCATCAGTATTTGTATAATTTATAATTTATAATTGTAATTTTAGCACACACCCCACCCCAACCCAAAAAAATTCCTCAGTTTCAGATCGCGCATTGCAAGATCCGTAAATTTCGATAAGATTTTAAGTCGTGGGGTCGTAGTTATAGTCCAATAATTATGTTCGAGTAAACGATTTGGATGATCTTTGGATATCGTAAACATATCTAAGTTTCTAGCAATCTAATCGCTTATAATTTTGAACTCAACGAACCCTATAAACTCCCTGCCTGACATTTTAGTTATTGCTTGCCATAAAAATGCAATTAACAGAAGTTATCATGTCGTCAGAAGAGAGGAATTTTATTATCATACAATCTTTTGATATGCGAATGATACATTTTAGTATGAAAAATAACAGGTCCATGCAATTAACTTGTCATTAGTACTTTTTTGTATTTACATTTTTTTGCTTTAGAAGTTAACAGAGATCTGCCCATATAGTAATTTCAAAATGAAACGAAATGGATGCAATAGAAAAAAGAATTACATTTAATTTCCTAAACTAATTCATTATATATTAGTCAAATTAAAGCAAGCTCTTATTTTAGAATTCCTGTGCATGAAATGATGTGTGACGCATTTTAAGATTTTTGGAAGGGTGTTTTAGTAATTTGCCGGGGCCCCAATAGCAGTGTTCCCAGTCACAGCAACATGGTTACAAAAGTGCAATCTGGAGCCATTTATCTGTTATCGTGATCATCCCCCATTCTTTGCTTCTTTCTTTCTCCACCATGATAACTTCTCTTTCTCTTCCATTTCCTCCCTCCCAGTTCCTGATGATTAATGCTATAATCCTACTCTACCATGAACAAAAACCTAAATGCCCCCTTCTCTTGATATCCCTCTGTTCTCTCTCACCCTTTTTCTGCTTCTTGCTTTCTCTCCTTTCTTTTTTCCAGCAAAAGGTTTTGCCTCCAGGAACCCGGGTCGTAAAGACATGGAAGAGAAACGTTGGGGTTCTACCTCGGCCTCCATTCCCTTCAAAATTTCAAGCTGACGGATAAGATGAAAAGGGGTTTGGTCTTTAATTTCCATCAATCCAATGCTTCTCGTAGAGATCCAAAATTCAACAGTTTATTACAAGATTATTTGGACCTGCAAAAGGTTGGAGCTCTCTCTCTCTCTCTCCCTCTCTCAAACCGCACACGCACACAATTTATAATGCAGTTGTAATATTAATAATTTGAAAGTTGATGAAATGTTTGGTCTGATGTACCTTAATTATCTGCTTGATAGCGGATAAGGAAGAGAAATTATGATCGCTCTTAAGAGCCCAAAGGCTCTTAACATTATGAATAAGAGAGAAATGATTATTTTGTTGCAGGAGAATGTCAGAAAGAAAAGGAAAATTCGATCGGCCAGACGAAAAATAGAAACACTTGTGCATGAAGTTAGGTGTGAAACATGAAGATTTCATCCATGGTTATTATTATTTCTTTCCTTTTCATTGAATAATTCTGTGACTCAGTATTTTCACCTTGTTTAGGTTTCTGAGGCAACGTTATGAGTACCTTATATATTCACGGTCTTCTAAAGTTGGAGAGGAGATGGTTGTCAATGAGGTATTGACTTAGCCAGGAATAAGGAAGCTGGTTTGTGTTTTTCACTTTTCAAAGTGAATTACTTTTTTGTGCATAGAACCTACGAATTAATGTTTATTGCACCCCCAAAAAAAAAATGACACTGTTCCCTTTAATGCAGAATGATATAGGGCAGCAAGCAGGGAAAGGGAAAGGGAAAGGGAAAGGGGGGGTGGATCAAGAGTGGGAGAAAACCACGAATTGCATAATCGACGGAAATAAAGGTAGAGCAAGTGAAGTTACATGTTCGGCAGAAAAAAGTTCGATTCATTCATGATCAACTAGTGGCACTGTTTTTTCTAGTTATTTCATGCTTTTTCTCATCGGTTCAGCAATTAGCTTGTTTATTAATTAAAATGTGATTTCCTGCAGCAAAACTTGATTTGCTAGTACTTAGGGAGGTATGGTTGGGTGAGAGGGTGAATGTGAATCAGAAAAGCTTTCACAATATGACATTGGAAAGACAAAAACACACGATGGTAATGTAATATATGGGTATCATTAACCACTGGAGTGTGAAATCAGATACCTAAATTTTTACATATGATAATAATAATTGGAAAAGAATCATGTAATCCCCTCAAAAAGAATAAAGCTCTCAACAAAGAAATCTCTGTTCTAACACCTAAGAAAATGGAGCCATTAGCATCAGAAAAACCACAAAGCCGATACTCCCACAAGAGCCGCCATCAGGCCACCCCGAAGAGCAGTGGCGCTGCTGGTGGGAGCTACAGCAGGACCTTCGAACTCGACCGGAGAAGGTGCCGGAGAAATACCCATGTGGCGGTTTCTGGGAGTGAGAACAACCACAACGAGCTTTTGGCCCTTCTCGCAGTGCCCATTTGCTCCGCTAATGAAATAGAATGGCCCAGGACGATCAAGCCTCACCTTGGTGTTGCCATCACTGTACTCTCCGAGGGGGTTGGCGGTATTGCAGTTAGCATAATCTTCCTTGCTTACTTGCAAAACTGAGTCTCTCCCACCTTCGTACTTCCACACTAATCAGCAAAAACAGAGATACTGTCATAATATGCAATGTCTCATAAACCAGAAATGTGGCAGAATAAGAGTAAAGAGATTAAACATACCAAGATGGTCGCCGACTTGGAAGCGGGACCTTTCAGCCCATTGATTGAGAGAATCAGATTGAGAAGAGGGGATCTTCCATGCATCAGTCTTGCCTCCCACCAAGATTTCCCTAGCTGCAGATAGGCCGAAGAGAAGGAATAAAAGGACAAGAGAAGAAGAAGCTGATGAGGAAGAAGCCATGGATTCTGATAACTGAAGGGAAGTTCGTGGGGGCGTTAGATGATGGAGATAGAGATGTTTTGTTTTGTATTGCAACAGCTGAGGAGGGGTTCGGAGTATTTATGGAGGAGGAAGAAAGAAACTAGCCGTTAAAGAGTGTGGAGAAAGCATGGAGGGGGGGCCACATGTCTCCGTTGGAAGGAAACGTTTTGCCCCAGACCGATGAACCATGCAACAGTGGGACCCACTTGCGTTGTGGGGAGTACTATTTAAGAGGATCATCGTTTTGTTTTGCAACGGTCACTGAAAGCGGATTCTGCTCAGGTATGTGAGGATTTGCAGAAACGGATAAACTTCGCAGCTGTCAGGGGAAACGGAATATTCAATTTTGTGATTACTGCTTTTTTTTTTTTTTTGCCAGAATTTTGCGATTATTCAAGTAGCTTGCCTTCTTCAATTTTCATTTTTAAGCCTTGATTATTAAAACTGCTAGTACGTTTCTGGGATCCTAATTTATTATCCTGCTTCCTCGATCAATTTTTTTAGCTTAAATACTTTTGACGGATAAATTTTGTGTTTATTCCATTTTTATTTTGTTTAATTCTGTTGGACGAGACTATGCTCGATTATTAGTTTATCACTCAACACAGAAGTATCAGATTGGGCTTTATCTCACGAATTCTTATTTTTCGGTTGAGGTTGAAGCCTACGAATGAAAAGCCAGGCCCAATGGGGAATAATTAATTTCCCTTTTTTAGCTGCAAACAAGTATCAATAATTTTATCGAACTTAAAATGTGTTGGACTGTGTTTTTAAAATAAAATAGATTTGTTTCATACTTGATTTTTTTTAAATTTATGCTCAATATGAGAAAAACCATTGAGTGAATTTTCTAATTCATAATCAAGCACAAGATGACAACCAAGTGCGAAAATTCATTCACTTATTATGATCTTTCTTTTTAAATGGGGAAAAGGGATGCTAAATGGGGAATTTAGTACTCTTCCGGTCCTTAATATAGGACCTAATTTTTGAGTTGGTTTGGTCCTAAATATAAGACCCATTTCTCATATTTATCAGTTTTCTCTAAATTACCTCTATGGATACTCCCTCAACCATAATCAAGTAGAAGAGGGGAAGGGGTATTAAGAAAGATAATTATGGTGTTTTAAGAAAAATGTGTCACTTTTTTTATAATTAACTAACTTACCTAACTTTCTTAATCTAATCAAATTAGTTAAATAGTCTTATGTTAAGAACCGGAGAGTATTGTCTTGTTCGAGTGACAAGGTCAAATGGGGAACGTTTGGCTGGAGAGAAGTGGGGACAAGGAAGAGCAAAGGCATTGTCATTGTATGGGCAAGCTAGAAACCGAGATCGTATTGGAAACAAAAATATCTAAATCTAAATCCAAGCCTGTAACCTGTTCCAGAGACAAGTAAAACGGATGATATAATGATGCGCACACAGAATCAGAAGCGGAGCATGCATGACGACACGTAGCAGCGACGTGTCAGGAAGACGTGACGCGGCAGCAGACGCGGCAAACAATGTGGGTTCTTCTTGTAGCTGGTAGGAAGCGAAGAGGAAGCCGGCACAACAGAGGAATGGCGGGAGAAGAAGAATGGAGGAAGAATGCGGGACACACAAGATGACTGCGGAGGAAGTGAAGGCGGCAGGAGTGGAAGCCTCCAAGAGACCCCTGGCAGCGGCCGCCCTCCCGGAGGAGTCCTTCACCAGAGGAGAAACCTTCCCTTCAGTTTCACCACCATCACTCTCACCGGTTTGGTCCTCTCCGCCGCCCTCGGTTATTTCGTCTTATACGTCCACAAGAAGCCCGACGCCACCGCCTCCGATGTTGCTAAGGTTGCTGTCGGCGTTCCTGACGCCCACAACAATACTCGACCCGGCAAATAGTTCCTTGGGTCTTTTCCTTTTTTTCTTCAGAATCTCCTGAGACAACAACTAATCCCTTGTTTGTTCTCAGCACCCTTCTCCAAAATTCCCTGTCTTTTCCATCAGTGGTATGATTTATTTCTCGGCATTCTTTGTTATGATTTTGATCGTGTTCGCGTGTTTACAATTCCCCGTCTTTCACCCTTCCTTACAAAGTACATGATAAATTTCACTCCGAAAACAAAAAAGTACATCATGACATAACAATCACTGTAATTTTGCTTGTTTTAATGCCATAGTCCTACCACCAACAGTCATTCAGGAGGTGTTTGGCTATAGCTAAAAATGTTTTTTTAGAATATTTTTTCACAATCAAGATAAATTTCTTTACAAATTATTTCGTATATTTTAAAATCGGTTCCCATTCAAATACTTTTTTATTTATAATACTCTATCCTACATGCCACATTTTTCATCTTAATTGCATCATTGCCAGTGGATCGCAAGTGCAATGACAGTTTCTTCGAATAAATGAAGATGTCACCTAGAAACCTATTCTCTAACACCCCCCCCCCCCGCGAAAATTTCATTCAATGTACTGAGACGAAAGAATCACGGAGTCATGCAATTCAAAATTGTATAGAATAGGTTACATCTGAACATGACATGTAATGCCCGAATTTCAAAACCTAGCACAAATTTTCTTCGTCCTTCAACAAGCATACAAGATGAATCAGAAGAACTACTAATTACTTGTATCGGAAAAAAAATGAACAACTAATTACTATAACACTTAATCAATTTTCACCGACGAGTAGATGAGCCTTGTGAACCAGAAGCATGCATAGAATCCGATGGTACCAGTCAGCACAAAAAATGCATACGAAGCTATAAGCATGTACCCGAAGTACAAGATTCCAGATACCATCTTTGTGATTTCAAGCTTGGTGAAGAAGTAGAATGCCGCGTAAAGGAATAGGTAAAGTGCAGAAGAGCCGGACGTGAGGTATGACCGCCACCACCACAAGTAATCCTCACTGCACAACTGGAAATAGCAGAGCACGATGGTTATCTCTGCACAAGTGATGACCAGGATGACGAAGACCAAAAAGAGGAAACCGAAGATGTAATAGAACTGATTCAACCAAATTGAGGTGAGGATGAAGAAAAGCTCGATGAAGACAGCTCCAAATGGGAGTATTCCCCCAATCAGAACTGAGAAAACCGGGTTCATGTACCAGGCCTGCTCGGGGATCTGCCTCGGGATTTTGTTAGTCTTCACGGGATTCTCAATTGCAGGCTTCTTGAATCCAACATAGCCACCCACAAAAACCAGTGGAACCGAGATCCCAAACCATAAAAAGATCAGTGCAAACATAGTACCAAAAGGCACAGCTCCAGATGATTTCTCGCCCCATATGAGAGCATTTAGTACAAAGAAAATGGAAGAGACGATTGCAGGAAACATGACTGCAGTCCGGAAGGCGATTCTCTTCCACTCGGTTCCTTTAAACATTTTATATAAGCGGGCAGAGGAGTACCCAGCAAAAAGTCCCATGAAGACCCAAAGCAAGAGCATGGCTGTCATTAGCCCACCTCGGTTTGAAGGAGAAAGGAACCCGAGGATGGCAAACATCATGGTGACTAGAATCATTCCGAAAAACTGAACGCCGGTTCCAGCATAAACACACAGCAAGTCCGAGTTGTTAGGGGGCCTAAAGACATCTCCATGGACAAGCTTCCAACCAGTCTCTTCTTGGGCTTCTTCTTGCGTCTCAAGCTCATTGTACTTCGAGATATCACGGTAAAGTGTCCGCAGCATTATCATTGCCACCATGCCCGAGAGGAAGAGAACAATCATCAATGAGTTTACAATTGAGAACCAGTGAATCTGGTCATCACTCATCAGCAAATAAGCATCCCATCTTGAAGCCCACTTCACGTCACTGGGCTGTAGCCAAAGGTCAAAACAGCTCTTATGAATAAGACATCACCAGCATCATAATGACAACAATAATGGTGGCAGCAGCAATAAAACTAATACTACCACTTCCTATCCTTAACATAAAAAGTTAATATGACTTTCAATTTCGTCTTAAATATAAGATTTTAATCCACTTTCTCTTTCGTATTTATCCATTTTTTTCAAAATAGTTAATTACACATTTTAAAATTTTCATCAAATAGTAATTCTAACTAATACATATGATTAGCAAGGATATTTTATGAAATGTAATACCTATTTATTACAAATAATTAACTCAACTAATTTCTAATATACTCAACTTAGTCAACTAGCTTTTATATTAAGGAATGGAGGTAGTATCATTCAACAGTTAAATTCCGGAGAGAAAAATTAGAAAGTATGGCAAAACTAATAAATAGCCCATAATAAATGGGAACGATGAGAATAACCATTTAGATTTAAAATAGTTATGACAACCGGAAATTCGTCCCGTTGCTCCTGACCAAGAAAGGACATATGTAACATGATATCACGTCCATAATAATCTCACCTGGAACTCAACATCATACGTGAATATTATCTCATTATTCTCTTCAACCTCTTGAGGAGCGTTGGAATTAACAACTGCATGTTTAGTATGAGGGTCACATGTTGTCAATCGGGTCTTGTCATCCCATTTCCCTTCGTATTCATGTTTAACACTGCACAATAACAGTCGAGTAAAAGAAAATCAATTCGACAGACCATGGATGAAATAATCAATATAGATAATTACGTAGAAGAGGTGAAGGTCAAATTTAGTGACCTGAACGGCTTAACCTCGAAACCCACAATTCTGGCCGATTCAGTTACATCGTCTTTATGGTACTTGACAATAAACGACAAATGATTGTGGATAAAGTACTTCTGCTCTTTGCTCTGAGCAATTAGAAATAAAGTCAGCATAACAAGATAAATGTCATTCACAACAAAAGGTTCATGCTAGGCAATAAGCATACCCCACTATATTGCCCCTTAAGCCCAACATGGAAACCAAGCTGATAAACAGTAGAATCCTGATCCATCCGCTTTAGAGGAACAACAAGAGGAAGGTTATCAAGGATCCTGCACATAAAATGCAGTACCATACCAAGATATGTCAAAACAGTTGATGCAATACACCGGCACAAAAATATAGCTCAGTCATTGGTATACATACATGTTCACACGGTACTCATCATCAATCTTCTCTTTAAACTCCTTTGCAGTTTTGGCATCAAGTTTAAGCTTACACACAACATTGCACATTTGTGGCTCACGCATTTTGAACTGAAAAATATCTCAAACTTAGAATCAGACGCAAAAAATAATAGAAAAGAGGCTCACCATCATGCTCAAAATAAAACTAACCACGTATAGAGAATTTTCAATGCGGTCACCACGAAGCACTTCACCAAGATTTTCTGCACTATCAACTTTTTTCCAGGGTTACAATAAGGGAGCGAATAATATGAGTAAGGCAGCTGAGTCTTTGTCGATGTCAACTTGTTCACTTTGACTTGCAATGTATCTCCCTGCACCAAAGAAAATTAATTTGTTTGAGCATATCAGAAGGGCATAAAATGAAAATATGATAGACATCACACTCATCAGATTCAAATC